TGTATCTGTACTGCTAAGCCTTATATTGGCTACCTAGCTTACTTCGTCTCCTTCATCAGCCAGCATCCTTGGTATCTGTTGCTCACTGAGTTGGTTCTCGCTAAGTAGCCAATATAAGGCTTAGTCATCTTGCCAAATAGTGAGCCCACATTGATCCCTAATGTAAATAGCCAATATAAGGCTTAGTCATCTTGCCAAATAGTGAGCCCACATTGATCCGTACTGTAAGTAGCCAATATAAGGCTTATGGCCCGTCTACACTACAGGCATAACAAAATCTTGAAGCTGGGCGTGTCTGAAGCTTGGCGATTTTTTGCGAGCAACGCCACCAACAACCAATCACATGAACTCCCGCCCCCGACATACAAAGCAATAGCAATGTTAAAACGAAGTAAACTGGATATAAACTCTCCAAACAGGCGAAAAACCTACCAGTTTCACCCACTGTCTCTGCCACCTCCCTCCATGCCTGGTTCCTCCGGTTTGTATCCCGGTAAATAGTTCTGGTCGTAAAGAACCGGGTGATTTGCTACCGTAATATCTCGTTTGGAATATGAGGAAATGAACTGCGGTCTGGCTCTCCCAGCTTGCACGCGGTTTGATTGGCTGCGCTTGCACTGGCGGGATTTGCATAAACTGGATTTGATTGGCTGATGCCAAGCATCGAGCCTCAAAAGTTGAACATTGTTCAACTTTTGATGCCGATAGATGCTCGTGATGCTTGCAAAGCCATGCCGTGCTCCCCACAATGCAGTTCGGCGAAGATTAAAAATCTTCTACGTCACCCCATTCAAGTGAATGGGCGAAGCGTTGAAAGCATTTTTCGATGCCCGTAGTGTAGACGGGCCGTAAGTCATCTTGCCAAATAGTGAGCCTGTGTTGATGTATGTATGTTAGAACTGGTTTATAAATTGTTCATAAAGATTAATAAAGTGTTTGACAACCTAATTGATAACCTAATTATAAACCCTTTATGAATCCTTTATAGGGGTAGTCTTATTGTAAAGTGGTGCCCTATGTTCTGTGTTGTCTCCCCCTTAGTTTCAGGCAGGAAGATGTGAAGAGTTTTATAATTCTCAATCTGTGGAACCACACCGCAGCGGCCCCGTCTTTTACCACGCCAGAACCCCTCGTACAGGATTTAATATTGAGGTCCGCCAACAGGGGATCTGTATCCGTCTCAAAAACAGTACGGCTCAGGTAATGTTGTGTGGATGACCTCTGAGTGCTTTATGAGAGTGAATACTATCATTTAAACATCCTCCAAATGAGCCGTTTAATTCTTATGTGTTGTTAGTCTTTCTGTCTCTCATCCTCCCTCCCCTTATTTCACTTCCTGCAGGACAAAAATCTGGGATTCTTGGAGTTACATCTGCAGGTTAACGACAACAAAACCTGCATGTACACATTTGATCGATCTTTCAAACTCAAGGCTGGAAGATTTGTCACTGTGAGTCTTTCTTGATTTCTCACTTTATATTGTTGTATTTTCCCTGCATTCATTTATTTGATTTAATGATTCTGCTTGTAAGTCTGTGGTTTTGTGTTTTACAGATGTGGGCAGCAGGTTATGGTCCCAATCGTTCTAACACTGAGCTGGAGTGGAAGGACCTGAAGCCCTGGAAGACCGGAGACAGACTGTGGTTCACCCTCAGTTCATTCTGGATGTAACATAACCTGGCATATTTTAACGACCCTCCTTTCTGCTCTCATTGTGCTTATCTTACCCTGCATCTATCAACAGGGGCAAATATACTTCTGCTCACTGTCTGCCTAGAGGCGGCTGTGGCTCAGTGGATAGAGTGCTGGACTTTGAATCAGGGGATAGCAAGTTTGAGTCCCACTGCAGTCAGCATGTCGTTGTGTCCCTCAGACACTTCACCCCAAATTGCTCCTGTGGGAATTTTAAAAGCGTCTAACAAATGACATATAATAATAATAATAATAATCTTACCCTGCATCTATCAACAGAGGCAAATATACTTCTGCTCACTGTCTGCCTAGCAACAAATAGCTGGAGTTATTTTTGAGCCTGTCAGCATTTTGTGAAGAAGATGTGTGAAGTGACGGAGCAGATTTATCAGCAGATTAACAGCAAAAAGACATGAGAGAAAGTTACAACATTATAAGATATCTTAACATTATTCACAGGAACAGTAAGACTCAGACGGCGTGTATTGCCAAAAATATAATTCACTATTCAAGTCCATGTAGTTAATATGTAAAAATTTGTTTTTATTTTTGTATTTACATGATGCTGATGTACACTTTTGATATTTGCTTACGGCCATGTTAACTTCCAAATATGTTTTTAATGTCCCGTGAGAGATAATGTTTAATTTTAAGGCGATATGTTTTAATTATATTTCTGCACCAACTGAGCCATCTGGTTCTGGGACGGGCTCCAAAAACACTTTGTTTTAGTTTCACTGAAGATGACGAAATGGGGTTTAGTATTCTCTCTTTCTCTCTCTTTGTATTGCGGCTTTTGGTGTTATGATGTACTTTAGAATTTAAATCAATTCAAACGGACGATTTTTGATCTTATAAATGCAATTCATGTTTTTATTATCCGCAGTGTTTTAGTCAACTGACTTTTAATTTATAAAAATACAATAAAACAAAATGAATTGATGTAATTTATTCCTGCATATAAATTACTACTACTATTTATAATATTAATAATATGTTATTCATCTAAACGTGATATATTTAATTATTTGTATTATTACAAATATTCAACTTATTATAACTTACTATATGTTGGTATAATTTTGTTTTTTCAAATCTTTACTCCACATTTTTAATTCTTATTTTTGAATAAAAATCTTTATTTAATTGTTTTTGTTTTTATTGCCCATTCTTAAATTGTATTTACTTTATCCAAAACATTTTTATTAGGTTTTTTATTTAATTCAATTTCTCGTATTTCGATCTTGATAAATTCACACATTTGCTTTTAACCATTTCAGTTTAACTTGAACAGTTTTCCCTCTTTTCACATATATATATATATTAATCCTTTATAATACATGTAAAAATATTGAGCAACCAGTTCAAAATGACTGAAACAATTCTTTTCTCAGAACAATAAATAACAAACAAAAAATACACAATGAAAAATGGAGTAAATAGGAAACGAAAAAGCACATGGTTAGTGGAGGAAATCCCAAATGACTCAATAATAAAATTAATCCGCTCTTTATTTCCTCTTTTCAGTTCACTTTTTGGCGAGATTACCAAGAAATGATTGACACATGTCGACCAGCTGATGAGATTACAATATGAGAAGAAACAAACCCTGATTTTAACGTATTTAATAAATAAAGTGAACGTTGAATGGTGCTTCCAGAATGTTAAAAGTTTATATTTGAAAGGTGACTAAGAGCAGGTGTTCACATTAACGTTTGGGGGATTTTTTATTTGATAATGATTTATCTAAGCTCTGTAATAATGCAGTCCATTAACAGTTGCACTTTTCATACAAACAAGTAAAAGATAACATGGATTTAATACAATTTTACTGAGCGAGGTTTTTAATACCTGTTCTTCCATTTATTTACAGATCAGCTTTTTAAGAATTTAATTTTTTGTTCAGTGAGTTACTAATGTCTTCCAAAATAAATAAATAGAAACAATATCTTACGTTTTTTTATTTTCGACTGATTTTTTTGTATAGTTAGTAAAACAAAATCATATATATTATATATTTGGATATATAGAGGGAACTAGAGGTTGAATACAAACTTCTTCAAATTAAAAATATTAATATTTTCACATCATTTTGTTGTATTATATTATTTTTGGCTGATTTGTGTTTGAATACCCTCAATCCCCCCAAAACATACATTTCCACTGATGTTCTAGTGCATGCTAGGTGTTAAAGAAATATAATTGTTAACATGAGAGGACATCAACCTGATTGTTAAATGTATCATAAATGTGGAGAGAAAAAGACTTGGGAAAGAGAACCTTGGCCGGTGCAAAGGTCCTGCCCTCTGAGGTCAGAGGGAGACTCTGGGGATATAAAGGAGGGCTTTATTCCACCTCAGCTCTCTGTGACGGCACCGTCTGTTGTTTAGGCTCCAACAAAGGTAAGAATACTTTTATTTGTTATTACGTTTATTCAAATATTGATATATTATCTGCAAGATGTGTCTTAGATTAATTTATAAAGATGACACACCCTAGATTGGAAGTAACCAGACCCTGAAGAGAGAGTTGGTGTAAGCATAATAGAAATAAAATATTAAAAGCTTTATTGAAATATATGTATGTGAGGAGGAATATGAAAACATTAAATGTATAAAACAAGATAAACAAAGGAAAACATAATAAGCCAATATATGCTTTTAAATATATATATACTATAAATGTGTTTAATTTTATAAAGTTTTAATTTAAGTTTATACAAATATATATTTCTTCTAAATAGATGGGATGATCAGAGACAGCAGAGAGCACACACACACACACACACACACACACAGGTAATACCGCAGCTGAAAGATCCTTCTGGTGTGTTTCTTAATAACTGTAAACGGTGTTTGTCTCGTGAGTTCAAAAGATGAAATACTGTACATGTTAGTCAGGATTTAATGATGTCTGCCTCCTTTAGTTTCTGTTTCCCTTCTTCAGAAAGCTGAACTGAGATGGATCCTCAGACAGTGAAGTGGAAATCCTGTGAGTATTTTTTTGCAGCAATATTGTGTTTTTACTCTATTTTTAAATGACACGATATCAGAGACAGACATCTTTGGAAATTCCCTAAAATGCAGATTTTGCTGCGGTCACTGTTCTGCTTTCTGAGTTCATGGTTTCAGTTATCATTCATCACCGCATGATGACAAATAAGGATTTCACAGGAAGTATTTTACAGGTCACATGCTGTGTTAAAGGTCCCATGTCATGCTTTCCGGTTATCACCCGTCCCCCTGTGTGTTATGAAGGTTGTTCTGCATGTAAACGGTCTGCAGAGTCAAAAACCCTCAAAGTACTCCCTGTCTATGCTGCCCCAGAACGCCTCGTTGGAGATTTCTCTTTTTCTTCCTGGGTACAGTAACGTGCCCATATCCAAATGGACCAATCCGTGGAGC